AAATGACTTTTACTACTGAATCTAATAAAATACAAATTGTTCCAAATTAAATTTTTAACTTTGTCTGGCTAAAACTGACTTGTGCTACTGAAAATAATATTTTATTTACAAATTTTAAACAATTTAAAACAATTTCTTCGTTTATAATTTTTATACACAACTAAAAATAGTTATTTCACTAGATTAGAAATATCTGTCTGACTATAATTGACTCGTACTACTTAATTTTTCAATTATTCGTGAATTAAATTCGATAGCGTACAAAAATGAGTTTTATTATATTGAATCTATTAAAATACAAATTGTTTTAACTTAATTTTTGAAATTTGTTTGATTAAAACTGACTTTTACTACTGAAAATAATATTTTACAATTTTTCTACCAATTTAAAACAATTTGAAACAATTTCTTGGACCACAATTTATAATCACAACTAAAAATAGTCATTTTACTAAATTTTAAAGATCTGTCTGATTATAATTGACACGTACTACTTACTTTTAAATTAATCTTAATTTAAATTTGATCTTTGACTAAAATGACTTTTACTACTGAATGTAATAAAATACAAATTATTGTAACTTAATTTTTAACTTTGTCTGACTAAAACTGACATTTACTAGTTAAATAATATTATGCCATATTTTTACTAATTTTACACAATTTAAAGCAATTTCTCCGACTATAATTTATGTACACAAGTAAAAATAGTTATTTCAATAGATTAGAAAGATTTGTCTGACTATAATTGACTCGTACTACTTGCTTTGAAATTATTCTTAATTTAAGCTCGATGTCTGACTGAAATAAGTTTTATTACTGAATTTAAATAAATACAAATTGTTCCAATTTCATTTTTTAAATTTGTCTGACATAAAACTGACTTGTACTACTGAAAATAATATTTAATTTTTTAACCATTTGAAATTTGTTCGACTGTAATTGATATGTACTACTGAAAATAGTTATTTCGATAGAATTATGAAAAATCTGTCTGGCTATAACTGACCCTCACTACTTACTCTTAAATTATTCGCGAAATTAATTCAATGTCTGACTAAAATGAGTTTTTACTACTGTATCTAATAAAATAAAATTTGTTTTAACTGAAATTTTTAACTTTGTCTAGCTAAAGCATTAAAATACAATTGTAGTAAAAAAATGAAATAATAAAAATACAATTATACAACAAATTTATAAAAGCAAAAGGAAAAAAGAATTGTTTGAAATCTAATAATCTTGATAAAACAACGAATGGAACATAAAAAATCCGTTTTTCTAAACAATTATAATATTGCGGTTAATTAAAAGCCTGTATAGTGATAATTAAAACTTTTTGCTAAAGTTTCAACTTTCTCCACTGCGAGAAGACAGAAATTTCGTTTTCCTTTGATAAGAAACACAAGGTTTTAAAATTATGAAGAGGAAAACTTTTCTAACTTTCTTGTGTTTCTTTTAATTGCTTCTAGTTTTAATCACTCTTATCAATGATGATTTCAAAAGTATAATTTCGTGAAATATTTTTAAAAAAAATTTATTTCTCTAAACACTTTCAATATTAAAAGAAAATCTCATAATAAAATAAATAAAATAAATAAAATCTATTTTAAATTTAATTGTTAATATTTATTTTTCGTATTTTTAATTTGTTTCATTGAAATTTTATTTACTTTATAGATCTTTACTTTTTTTTCGTATTTATAACTAAAAATCAATTTCTATACTCTGTCTTCATTTCTTTCATATTTTCCACTGTCAATAGCTTAGAGATTATACACTCCGCAAATAGAAAATCGTGAGGCGAAAGATTGAGTTAAATCAAATATTCTCGTTTCATGCTGATGAAATCTTATTATTTCAACAATTCAAATATCAAATATCGAACTTCTTGATTTATTTTAGAATTCATTATGATTTCGTAATTTCAATCGCACGAAATATTCTCTAAATTTATCAAATTACCATTTACCATTATTGTCCCTCAATATTCAATGTTAATATAATAGAAATTTATAAATAAATGAATAATAAATATTTGTTTTATAGAAAATCTTTTCTATTTCTATATTTTATTTTTATGTACCTCAGAATTTTATTGTAAAACAAATTTTTTATCTCTCTGGGAAAAATAACGTTTTTCCCTCGTTTACAAATTTGTTTTCTATGAATTTTAATGATATTGAAATTTTGAGAGATGGACATATTTATTCACAATATACAATATGAATTATTGACTATTTGGAGGAAAAAAAAAATGTGTGAAAATTTGTATGAAATATGTTCTAAATCAAAAACAATAGAGATCTATATGCGTTAAAAATAAAAAAAAGCTCTCATCTTAGAGCGTCTCACTATTTTTGAGAAGAGAAAAGTCGCATAAATTATATCCTCGTGGGAATCTCCATTTTACGTGACATCAAATTAACATAAAGCTATGGAAATCACTATAAAAGATTATCGTTCTAAAAGTATACACTATGGAAATATCTTGTATCAATTTTTTCCTCTCAGCGAGTTTCTTACAAAAAAAAAACGTTTTTCTTTTTTTTTTTTTTTGGCAAAATGTAAGTACGATATGAAAATGAAATTTTTCAAAAAAGAAACAACAATAATTTGCGATTTAATCTTTTTTGAGTTGTAAATAAGTCATTTGAAAAATTTAAATGATAAAACTCTGAAAATGAGTTAATTTCTAGTTGACTGTTATTTTCAATCTTATCAAACTATTAAATCTGGTTTTAAAAAACAACTTGTAGAAGTTAATCGACATCGACATGAATTTTAATTCTTTTATTTAGTAACGAAGCACGCATTCATTTGCGGCACGCCTAATGAGAAAAAAAATTCAACTCTGAATTGAAAAAAAATTTATACTTTTATCGAAATTTTTTTGTTAATTTCGATAAAATTGATTAATTGATTTAGAATTAAATTATTGTTTTTATTATTATTATTATTATTATTATTATTATTATTATTATTATTATTATTATTATTATTATTTGTGTTATTAGAATTATAAATGTAATTAAACATTAATTATAAAATGAAACAATGATTTAAAAAATTTTAAATACATCAATTTTTAAATTTGTCTGACAAAAACTGACTTTTACTACTTAAAATTATATTATACAATTTTTTCTATTAATTTCTATCAATTTCAAGCAATTTCTTCATTTATAACTTATTTACACAAAAAAATAGTTTTTTCACTATATTTTAAAGATCAGTTTGACTATAATTGACTCATACTACTTACTTTTAAATTATTCTCAATTTAAATTCGAAGTTTTACTAAAATATGTTTTATTACTGAATTTCATAAAATGCTTATTATTTTAAATTAGTTTTTTCAATTTGTCTGACTATAATTGCCTTTTACTACTTAAAATAATATTGTACCAATTTCAAACAATTTAAAAAAATTTTTCGTTTCTAATTTATATACACAACTAAAAATAGTTATTTCACTAAATTTTTAAGATCTGTCTGACTATAATTGACTCGTACTACTTAATTTTTAATTATTCTCAATTTTAATTTGATGTCTGACTTAAATAAGTTTTATTACTGAATTTATGAAATGCAAATTATTTTAACTTAAATTTTTAACATTGTCTAACCAAAACTGGCTTTTATTACTTAAAATTATATTAAACAATTTTTTTTTACTAATTTCTAACAATTTAAAACAATTTTTTTATCACAATTTATACACATAACTAAAAATAGTTATTTCGCTAAATTTGAAAGATCTGTCTGACTATAATTGACCATTACTACTTAATTTTACTATATCCACAAATTAAATTCTATGCCTGATAAAAATGAGTATTATTACTAAATTTCCTGAAATACAAATTCTTTTAACTTTGTCTGACTAAAACTGACTTCTACTACTAAAAATAATATTTAATTTTTTAACAATTTGAAAACATTTTGTATGATTATAATATTAATGTATACTACTAAAAATAATTATTTTGATATATTTAAAATATATGTCTGACTATAATTGCCTTTTACTACTTAAAATAATATTGTACCATTTCTTTACCAATTTCAAACAATTTAATACAATTTTTTCTTTTACAATTTATATACACAACTAAAAATAGTTATTTCGCTATATTTAAAATATATGTCTGACTATAACTGACAATTACTACTTAATTTTACATTACTCGCAAATTAAGTTCGATAATGTACAAAAATAAATTTTACTATTGAATCAAATAAAATGTTCTAGAAAATTAATTACTGGGGCTTAAAAATAGTGAAATTTGTGAAATAATATTGATTGGAATTTGGAAGATTCTTATATTGGGAGTGAAAGGAGGATTTAACGAAGATGAATTTTAACGGAAGACTCTATATGCATCACTGTCAATATATTTAGAAGAGACTTGTACATACAATGAAGTGTATCCTGTCACAATTAGTGCTCACAGCAGCACATGTAGGCAAATACGATGCATTATTCGAGTTCTCATGTAGCCTCAAAGGGACGAGGAGTAATCGCTCTTTGTCCTGAATTTGATGTTTCACATTTACTCGATCTGACACTTTAACCACCCATAATCGTAGCCTAGAAAGGTTAAAGATTAATTATTGATCTTTGACACCACACGTCCAATTGACAAATAATAGATTTCCACTATTTAACTCCTATGAATTATTTCCATCAAACAAAGATAAAAAGAAAAGAAAAACTATGGCATTTTTTCAAAAGAAATGAATTTTTTCAAAAGAAATGAATTTTTTCGAAAGAAACGAATTTTTTCAAAAGAAAGAATCAATTTATAAACATTTGGAAAAATAATCACTCTGCAATTTAAAATAAATGGGAATAAAAAACAAAATCGAAAATTCGATCACAGTTTATTTTATATTAAAAAAAGCACTTGAAATTTTTATTACTTTTTTTATTTTTATGAATTTTCATACTTTATCCATAAATCCTCTTCCATCTATTTGCTTCGATTTTTTTTTTGCAGGACATTGTTTCGATGCTCTTGAAAATATCTATAACGAAGACAATATAAATTCCAGCGCCAAAGAAAAATGAGGGAATAAGAAATAAATTATAATAAATAATATAACCAACAACTTAAAGTGATATATATAAATGACAAAACAACAATAATCAATAACTGACAAAACAATAAATATCCTATAAATTTTACACCCCGTGTACCAAAATAAGTGTATAAATTGACAAATGACCAATGAAAATAATTTTTAAATCAAATCAAAAAGAAAAATACAACACAAATAAAGACGAATTTTAAAGAAAATACAGAAGATATTTTCATCAATAATGAGAAGGAATTAAAGGAAGAAATCTAAAAAGATTTTATAATATCCAGGAAATAAAAGATATTTATAAAAAAAAAGAAAAAACTATACTAATTTGCTACAAATTTACCTATATACACTTTGGAAATTCATTCACTCTGTATAGAATTAAATCAATTAAGTCTAGTCAATTATATCAATAGAAAAAAATGACATATTTTATAAGAAAAGAAATATTTTCTAAAAACTCGATTAATTTTGAAATGATGAAGAAAAAGAAATTTTTATCTAAAATAATATCCATCCGTGACCACACGTCAATATCCGTCTGAGCTGCCAATATTTCGTACGTAAAATTGATTCGTGTATATAAAATTTAAAAAAAAAACGTGAGTGTGACACTATAAAAAGAAAATTTAAAAAAAAAACCAAGGGTCCAGAAATATCGAAAATTCAATAAATTCGATATAAAGACTAATCTCAACTAAATTTCGACCAGGTATTTGTGAACATCTTCAGAGAAAAAAAAAGTGTCATTCATGTTGCACGAAATGTTTTAAGTGTAAGTTATAATAGATTCTTTTTGTGACTTTTTTAATTAGATTTTCATGTAAAATATTGCATGAGACACTCTCTCTTTTACTCTCTTTCTCTTTTTCTCCCTTCTTCTTCATTCTCTCATAAAGCATGCCTAAAAAAGGTGTGTCTCAAATCTAATTCCAAATGTGTGGAATAACGAAACACACCTTTTACGAAATTACGTTTTTACACGCTCACTTAATTCACAAGTATGCATGAATATTGTATTGTGAATTTCTATGTTTTCATTATAATTCCCTTTTTCTGTATAGAGAATAAATTTACGAATAAAATTCGCTAATTGTATTTTAAAGTTCTAAAAATTTACACTTAATGAAAATTATACCATAATGCAAAAATTGTACGTAAAGAGAATTGTACTTGGATACATTGTTTAGGATTGAAAAATAGCTACATTGTAAAATTATAAAATTATAAAATTATAAAATTAAAAATTAAATAATTAAAAAATTAATAATTAAATAATTAAAAAATTAAAAAATTAAAAAATTAAAAGATTATAAAATTATAAAATTATAGAATTATAAAATTAAAAAAATTATAAATGTTCAATTATCGAAGGAAAATTCAGAATTTTTTTTACTAAAATCATTAGTAAAACTTAAATTACAAACTAGAAATTTATTTCACTACTGATGATAAATTCGTAATAAATAAAAGTTTTTAATGAGAGATAGGAAATATGTCCGACTTAATATAACTTCAACTACTGAAAATTACTTTGCAAACAAAAAAATTCATTGTTGATCTTTTTTGTGTACAGCACTACAATTATTGTAAACCATAATTGACTTTTACTACTTAAGCTGAAAATAAAGGAGAATTAAATTAAATGTCTGACTAAAAGTCTCTTTTACTACTGATATAGTAAAATTAAAAATTTAAATTACTGTCGAACTGTAAATTCGTTTATCTATTTAACATGTTACTGCTAAGTATAAAATTATTCACAAATTAAATTTAATGTCTGACCAACAATGACTTTTACTACTGATAGTAATATTATAGAATTTTTTCTTGCAACTTCAAACAGTTTGAAAAATTTTCTTAGACTATAATTTATATACACAATTAAAAATAGTTATTTCGCTAAATTAGAAAGATCTGTCTGACTATAATTGACTCGTGCTACTTATTTTTTAATTTGTCTGACTAAAATTGACTTTTACTACTGAAAACAATATTATATCATTTTTCTACCAATTTAAAACAATTTAAAACAATTTCTTCGACCACAATTTATAATCACAACTAAAAATAGTCATTTTACTAAATTTTAAAGATCTGTCTGATTATAATTGACTCGTACTACTTACTTTTAAATTATTCTCAATTTAATTTCGATGTCTGACTAAAATAACTTTTATTACTAAATTTGATGAAAAACAAATTGTTTCCACTTAATTTTTCAAATTTGTATGACTAAAACTGACTTTTACTACCGAAAATAATATTAGCCAAATTTTCTTCCCAATTTCAAACAATTTAGAACAATTTCTTTGACTATAATTTATATACACTAATAAAAATAGTATTTCACTAGATTAGAGAGATCTGTCTGACTATAATTAACTCGTACTACTTACTTTAAAATTATTCTCAATTTAAATTCGATGTCTGACTATAATTGACATTTAATACTTGATTTAGAATTATTCGCGAATTAAATTCTATGCCTGACTAAAATGACTTTAACTACTTAACCTAATGAAATATAAATAATTTCTACCTTTTGTCTGATTTTAAAACTGACTTTGGTAATGAAACAACTATAGAATGTCTATACTTTAAATAATAATGAATATGATAAAATGTTTTTTAATAATTAAAATTTTCTGCCAATTTCACTGATTTGGATAATAATTGCGACAATCGACTAAACGAATAATTGTGCAAATCAAAAAAACCTCGTCTGACTAAAACAGAGTTTTACTACTATTATTATTATTGCTATGTAACATTACCTGCTTTCTCTGACTTAATACGATCTTTTCTACTGAAAGTAAATTTTTTTCTACACTTTTCTGACGCTTTCATACAAAATAATTGGAAACTATTGTTGAAATCAGCTCCACTAAATCTCTTATTGAAATTTCCTGCATCACATACTTTACTATTAAATTTTCTCTTATTTTTTTTTAAGAATAAATTTTATTATTCAATCAGTTGGTAAATTTTCACACAAAAAGTAATAATTGAAATGAAAATAAATTTAAGTTTTTATCTAGAGAGTAAAGGGGTAATAAACAAAAGTATTAATTAGATTGAGATGTGCAAATCCAAGTTTAATTAAGTCAAGATAATGGGAATAGATCTTGAGATTTAGGGAATAAGCTTCAACTTTAACTTTTGATGGTGGCTGTTCGATAGTCTCGATGGCAAGACACTTGAAATACTCGACACTCGTGACAACTACCACTCGACCCTTCTTTACTCACAAAGAGTAATGATCTCTGGAGATTTACCACTAGACCCAAATTCTCATTATGTCCTAGTAACTTTTCTTCTAATCTTATAAAAAAAAGTATTGCTGAACAGTCAAATTCGAGAATTAGTTATACCCCTTAACAGACGAATTATGAAATTTTGTTTTATTTTAAATGTAGAAAATATAAATTATGCCTAAATGTACAAATAAATTGTAAATATGTATAAATTATAAATTAGACTATAAATGTTTAATGAATAAATATAAAAATATAAAAATACGAGTAAATAATAAATATAAATTTTATACGTTGTATAAAAAAATAATAAAATTGATTTAACACTTTTATTTCAATTCCTTGAATCTATTATAAATCAGTTGGAAAACTGAATTTGTTAGACGATGTTCTGGACCGTGAATTCAAGTCTGAACAATAGTGTCCCCAAACATTCAATTAAGTCGACTCTCGACATTTCCAATTAGGATTTGCATCATCACCATTAGGCATCTATTCGTAAAATATTAAATTAACTATAATAATCTTTGTATTTCATTCTTTCTGTCCACACTTTGAAGTTAGTTTTTGTGTATGCTTTTGTTTTTTTTTTGTTTTTCTCTTCTTTAAAAAATATTGTTTGACAGATCGAAAAAATGCAGGTACTTTTTTATGATTTATAATAAAACAATATTTGAAATTAGAAAATATATAAATTATGCAAATTTTTCTTCTTTTCATTTATAAAAAATGGAAAATTGTTAATTTTTATAAAAAATTATAATTAAGAAATAGGAAATATTTTATGCATAATTTTTATTTCTTATTAACAATATTGTTCAGAAACTAATTCTTTTCTTTTAGAAAAGAAACAATACATATTCTATTCTATTTTCCAATTACAAATTTTAATTAAAAATGAAATTGAAACTTTTTAAATTTTTGGAAAATAAAGAAAAAAATTTTACTCAAAACAGTGTTCTGTTACATTTATTTACGAATTTCTTTAATTGTAAAAATTATTCGAAAACATCAATAACTTTTTTTTTTAATAAATATTTAAATATTATTTTTCCGTAGGAATTAAAATTTTTGAAAACATTTAAATTTAAATCTTTTTAAATTCAATAACTTGTAAGAATATTTTTATAAAACATGAAGATAGCGATTGCTACGAGTCGAAGACTCGGAGTGATCGATATCTTCATGTTTTATAATAATTAAAGATGACCGAGTGATAAAATCATTGGTTTATATTATAAGAATTTTATTACAGTAACTTTTTCAAAATTATTTTCATTATTTTAAATCAATTATTATTTTCTACAATTTTTAATTATTTTTGAATAATTGAATTATTTTTATTATTTATAAAAATAATTGAGTCATTGCGAAGGAATTTATAAAAAAAATTAAAATAATTGAATTCCTGAGAAATGAAAATAATTTATGAAAAAATAATTAAATGTTTGCTTACTATTTTTGGGAATTTGAAATTAATTTAAAAATAATTGAACTTTGAGGAAGAATTTTGTTATTTATAAAGATAATTGAGATTTTGACGAGGATTTTTTTTTAATTTGAAAGATAATTGAATTTTATGAGAAGAAAAAAAAAGAAGAAGAAGAAAAAAAATAATTGAATTTCTGCAATTATTTGTAATTTTTCCAAAATTAAATTTTTTTAGTGTTTTCAACGAAAATTTGAATTAAAAATTTTTAAATTAATTAATTTAATTTAATTAATTTAATTTAATTTTTTAATTGCTAATTTTATACCAAAAAGTTAGTTAGAATTGTTGTTAGTTTATTTATATTTTCATAACCATGTGAATAAGAAAGAAGAAATTTTTTTTCATTATTTTAAAAACGAAGCAAATATTTCGAAAATATCTTGTAACTAATATTAAATTCTCTCTTATTTTAGATTAAATTTAACAGTTTCTACCTTCTCGGTGTAAAAATACTTCAACTATATTTATTTTTAACCCGTTTTCATGTATCAGATTTAAATTGAATTAAATTCTTTAACTAAATACATATTAATGATTATTGTCAATCGAAAGGATAAAGTTCACTGAAAATTCAAATTGCAGATAGATAAATTAAGAAAGTGGGTCATTATTTTCACGAAAATAACTATCTTTAGAATAATATAAAAAAGTAACAGGAAAAATGTGTTCAAAAAGTATTTTTCATTTTTTTCCTCAAGAAAAGTGAATATAACTCACGCTCTCAAATCGACACTTCTCTCATGGCACACTTCTTTCTAACATTTACATTTTTCATTTCTTCGAATCAAAGTCAAATCACTTTACATATTTTCTTTTTTACTTATATTCACGTTGAGAAAAAGATGAAAATTCAAAGTGAAAAGTTTACTTAGACTTTGTATTTTTCTTCCTCACTTTCCTTTCAATCACAAAAAAAAAATGATAGAACAAATTTTTTGAATTTAACTTTTAGTTGAAAAAATTAAAATTAATAAACTTTGGAAACTTGATAAATTACCTGTATTTATGATAAAATTGCTTTCTAGA